TTTGTCCGTTTAATTGACCGATTTGACGAATCAGAAACTGCTGAATAAGATTATTGATCATTAATCATCTATTGTTTATTTTCTATTGAATTCATAATTTATCAAATATGTATTATTAAATTATAACAATTGGAAGCTGAACATGAAACTAAAAAGACAGTATAAAAATAAAAATGTTAAAGTAAAATATTTTTTAATTATTATATTGTTATTTATTATAAAGTTTTTGTAATTTTTCATTACAATATTTTTCAAGAAAAATTTAATATGCAAGAATACAAAAATATTAAATCTTATTAGTTGCAAATTTGAACACATGTATGAAATACGCAAAATATTTTTTATTCATTACGTTATCTTAATTTAATATAACTTCGATCGTTGTATTTTCTATTCAATGAAAAATGAAATATAACTTCTTGCCTACTAAGAATTACTTTATTTAAGAATCCAATAGTTTCATTATTTGCTCTCCTAATCTTTTTTAACTGATAATAATTAAGATAGAATATATATTAGAATTATATTAGAATTAATAGAATAATTAGTAGAATAGATCTTAATAAATAATTTTATTCTTTTATGATAATGTGAAATATAAAATTTCATTAAAGAAAAAGAAGATATACCTTGTTTTTATTGCCATATAAAATAACGTTAATTGTAATATGAAAATCATTTTCTAACCTTAATCTTCATATTTTTTAATATTACTTTGCGAATAGAAAATCATATTCTCTTTCAACATCAATTTTCTTTTTTTCTTTATCATTGTCTTATCGAAATTTTTATTTTGCCAAGATGAACGAACGATACGATACTAGCGATAATAATAAATATGACCAAAATTAGCGAATCGAGAATATAAAAATCCATTGCAGGTGTGAATTGCGCAACAGGAAATTCGGAACAACGACACTGCTCATTATTGTCGATCCGGTATCACGCACACAATGCGTTTATTCTCGGTGTACATTTTCAGGCTAGAAGATCATGCCAATATCCACGAAGAATATTGCGAATACATTCAATCCTCGAAATTTTATAGGAAAATGTGGATTCTTGAGACCAATGTTAATTCGCGTCAGATATGAAACTGTCGCCAGATGCACGTCAGTACTACCACCTTGATGTTAATGAAAGTGAAAAATTGTAAAAAATCTTATAATTCTTCATTGAATTTTGTCTGACAATATTATATAGCCATATCCTATCTTTTGTATAATATTAAATTTTCTGATAAATATTTAGAAATATGTTAATTAATAAGTATATGTTAATGAGAATTTCTTATTGGTTTAAAAAATAATTCAATTTAAATTTATCACAGTGATTCAAGAATTCAATATCAATTGAAATTTAAATTAAGAGTAAATTAAGTTAAAATCGAAAGCTTACTTCATAATATAGATATAATAAAATATTTTATTCAAATAATTAATTTAATAATAGACAAATAAATAAAGCATAATTATTGCATTGTCATCTTTTATAATATAGAGGAAAATTTTTAATTCTGAAAATATTAACGTGAAAAATTTTATTTTTTTCCAGTACTTTTATCTTGAGATGATTTAATGTGAATAAAATTCCTTTACAAAAGTTCTATATATTATATCTTTTTGAAAATGATTCTCATAAACTATTACTATTGTTTAACTATTTAATTGTTTAACTATTGTTTACTATGTTCCGGTTTTCTCTGTCTTAGGTATTCTTATCTTGGAATAGCGATTTATAATTAATAACAAAGAATTGTTTATATAATTGTATATAGTCGAACAAAATATTCAGTAGAAAAGGGACATATATCATTATTTTTATATTATGTCAAATACTAGGTTAGCAAAATAGTTTATTTCCAAATTAATTTTTTTTATAATAATAAGCTTGATGATTATATTAATTTTTAATATTTTTCTAAATTTCATCAACTAATTTATTCAACAAAATAAAATTAAATAATGGTTATATTGTGTTACTCAACTTTTTAGAAATGAATTATCATTTCGTATATTTCGTATGCACATTGGTGTGAAATGCGACAAGAAGTTTCGACGTTGGATCAGGCAGCGCAAAATTTCAACGGGTTTAAATTTATGAAGCGAGAAAATAACGATGTCAAGTACGCGATATATCGAAAATACCTTTCGCGGTAAAGAATCGAATACTGTATTAACGATGACTATCGGTGTACATATATGTGTGAAACTACGATCTATGGAATTTCGAATAACGATGCCGTTCCTTAACATCATTTGCACCAATTACGTTAACGCTCTTCTATTTTAGCACCGTTTGCGTATCGAATTTTTTCTTCCCAAAATTTCGGATCTGCTGGTTTTTATAAAATTATTATTCAATTTAAAATATATAATATATATATATATATTTATATAATTATTCATTTTTATTTATTTATTTTTTTATATAACTTTTATACAGATATGTAACATTAAAATTAAATAAATAAAATGTTATAATAAAATAATAAAATATCAATAATAATAGAATAATTATTTTCAATATTTGTACTTTTTATAAAATAAACTTTCATTTATTATTTTATTTAATTAAAATTATTACGATGATTCTAATAATTTTTGTTAGAACTATATTCAGCATAGAATACGTTTCTATGAAAGTTTCTTACCTATATATATTGGAAGACCACATTTCGCTGTCGTGTTCAATATTTTAGTTACAATGATTTATACTCGATACATAAATTATACTATATGTATTATATTCATATCGTTGAAATCGAACTTTTGAAATATGGATATGTTAGAAACAGATTACATTATACGTGACTATCTAGTACTTTGTAATTGTTTTCAATTGTATACGTGTCACATAATATTATATAATTATAAGAATTTAAACAAGATAATTTGAAATAAAATATATGTAATAAACTTTACTTATGTATGTAATTTAATTATCGATATACAATAATAATTTTATGTTAAATTTTTTTTAGCCTTCTTTAAAATTTCAAAAATTTATTTTTACTTTCGTCAGAATAAAAGATTATAAACTGATTATTTAAATTCGAAAAAAATGAATAGGATAATAGTTTTTTTTATTCGCTCAATCAGTGACAATACAGAAAGTAGCTGAGAAGAAACCTTTTGATTAAATACCATTAGTTCGATAGCTCTCTGTTGTTATTTCTCTTTAATCCAAGCTTTTCATTATTTTCTGTGATTTTCATTTCAATTATTTCCTAAATTTTATAGCATTAATCTTTTTCATTAATCTACTTTGTTTCTATTATTTAAGATATTATAAATATAGTTTTTATTCATTGTGTATATAAATTTTTTTATATATAGAAAAATAATATATTGTTTTTTCTATCTATAAAAAATATAAGTATTTGTTTTTGTAGATTCATGATAAACTCAAGTAAAAATACTTCCTCTACACTTTAAAAGGAATCTGATGAAGCAACACATCAAAGCTTTGTCTAAAGAAAGTATCTACTTCAAGTATCTTCCCATTAAATTCAATAACAGTCCCATTTTGAAGAAAATTTTGAAGAGGTTATTTTTATGAAATTCATAATTCAATGATTCAAGATGGGAATACATTGACATTCTGATTCTTTTCAAGTTCAATCTTGAATAATTTTTAGAAAGTATATAATTATACAAAAATAGTATATAATTTTTTCGAGATAAGTCAGAAAAATTCGGATGAAATCAAACAAGATCTCAATAATTCAATTTAATTTAAAAAATCTAAGATTGTCCGATCTTCCATGCAAATCCAAAGATGACTTTTTTAGAATCTTAGTAATAGAGCAATAGTAGGTATTCTCCGATTTTAATCAGGTATCTGATTTCAGGAGAATCTTCCCAACGAATCTTGAAATTCAGATTCTCAATATTTGAGACAATCCCTCTCATCTCTATTTAAGTATTAGAATACAATTTTATTGATTTTATTTTCAATAAAATTGATATTGATATAACAAATTATATATATTTTAAAATAATTAAAATTGTTATTCCAACTAATGTTAAATTACTAATAAAATTTCAATAGGCATTTAATGCGTCATTTTCTTAGCTCGATACTGATGGCATTAGATGTATAAACCTCCAGCATGCTGATCTAGACGACAAAGATATTGAAACAATACTCCATTGGCACAATACTTATCGCAATACTGTGGCAAGTGGGAAAGAAATACGAGGAAATCCAGGTCCACAACGTCCAGCAAAATTTATGATGGAAGTGGTAAGATTTAATTTAGATTAAACCGTAATGGTCATAAAAAAAAAAAAAAAAAAAAGGAAAAAGTAACAATCATTCAGATATTAAATTATCTAAAAAAATATCAACTCTCCTACATATCTATAAATGTAAATCAATAACCAGTTATTTCTGACTTTTATTTCATAAATCTGTTTCGTTTCTGCTTTTGTTAATATAATTTTTACTTTTATCTAAATATATATATGTATATATCTTTATTACTGTTATTTTAAATATTTTTTGATTATTAAACTGATCAGTATAGATTCAAATTCATAAAATATTAATGAGCAATTATTTCTAGTATCTGTTAAAAAATTATTATTCCATGTAAAAGAAATATATTTGTATCCATTTCAATTGATATCACATTACTATTAGTAAAAATGAAACATCATGTAAAAGTTAATAGATTTTCTATAAAATAATTAGATTCGAATCACTCGTATTCGAATCTAATGGGAATATTTATTTTGACAGATGTGGGATGACGAACTTGCTCTTATCGCGAGACGATGGGTGGTACAGTGCAACCTCCTCGAGAAAGATCAGTGCAGAGATGTTGGCAAGTAACTCTCACGAATATATATCATTTTTCATTTCTCTTAGTCGTCCCTATCATTTTTCAATATCCATCGCGTATACGTTCGAACACGAAATTGTTCCTCTTGTAACAGGATCGATGTGTCTGTGCGTTCTCCTCTTTTTATCGCAATTTCTCTCCTTCTTGTTTACGAATACCACTCTCCTCCTATCTTCCTCCTTTTCCATCCCTTTATAACTCGTTTTGGCTTCGTTTCAATTTGCAATCGTAAGCCGCAAAAACGATAGTGGCGCTTGTAAAAGGGAGAAATTTCATTTGGTTTATTGTCCATTGCGATGGGTGCTCTTGGGTGCTCGATTGAGTTTGATCTGCAAGACGAACGATTATCAAATATCTAGGACATTTGGTAAAGACGGAATTATTGTTAATTATTATATACTTGAAATCATCATTTTAATTATGATATTTGAATCATTTTTTTTTTCCAAAAATAATTTCTTTAAGCTTGTTCAAAATTATTAACTCTTGTTTAAAAATTTTTTTACTTGTTTTCCAATAGTTGGTAATACAAATTTTTAGAATTCTTATATTGTTTAGTACTTAATTATATATTTTTCAAATTTATTTATTATCTGTATATTTATTTATAGATAGAATAAAATTATTTAAAAAGGAAAAGTGATTGAAATATTTAAGGAAAATTAAAATTTATAAATTCGTAGAATTTTTTTATCTGGAAATATTTCGAATATCTTAACGAAAATTGAAGAAAACAGATGAAGTGACACGATTAAAAAGCTTATTTACTTCTCTTTCATGTATATATACATTAGTAATAAAGGAAAAATATTGCTAATTTAAAACGCGAGTTACGTTTTTATTATTAAATCATACTTGTTGATTCAACCAATTTAAAATAAAGTACAATATGAAATAAAGAATGAACAATAAAAACACGATAAAATTACAATAATTTCAATGTGTAGAGTAAAATATTTAAAATAAAATGTGCATAAACAAATAATTATGAAAATAATTTCATATAAAAAAAATGTATGATCAAACTGGAAAAATATTTACTAAATGCCAAAAATTCCTGAATAAAAAGTATATAATTTTATTTTTTATTATTAATAAGAAAAAAGAATTTTTTAGAAAAAAAAATACTTATTGATCAAGTATAAAATTATATATATAATATCAATAATTTTGTAAAAAAGACATTTACCTCTAATTTTTTATTCTTTCATTAACATTTTTAATATTCTCGATTTTGTTTCATTCAAGTTTTTTCTAGCAGATAAGTTGGTCAAATCGCCTTTATACAAAAAAAAAAATCTGAAAGATTGAAACTTGAAGAGCATGTGGGTCATGCAGTTGGTTCTCTTTTACCAATCCAATGACCAGGATAGCTTTTATTAAAACGATCTGGAGTATGAGATTGAAATAAACGGGAGATCAGTCATATGTGAATCACATCTGACGAATTTTTCTATTTGTGTAGATTGGTTCTAAGATACAATTCCTAATTTGATTCCCAAAATCATTTGAAGATCACACAAAGTCATGATGGAGATTGATTCTCTAGATCTGTAAGATACAATTCAATCAGTACAATTCTTAGGTTAGGTCCTTAGTTCCATTGGGTATAATTCCTAAATTGATTCCTTAGTTTCTGATCAAAGTTCTACTTACAATTCCTAAGTTAGTTCATTAATTTCATTTGGCTATAGTTTCAAAGTTGATTCCCTTGTTTCGTTAAGTACAATTGGATTCTAGATTAAATCTATGTTTATTGAGTAGAATTGATTTCTTCCAGGTTAGGTTCCAGATTGGATAAATGACGCTATAATATTCAATGATGAAAATTTAAAACAAAAATTATGTGAAATCATAGAATCAATTAACATTGTATTAAAACCTTCTATAATAAAAGTAAATATAGAACCAATGATCTTTAAACATGTAGAATAAATATGATGATCTTTTTAAACATATATAATATATATATAACTTCATAAATGTTTATATTAGCTACATTATTATTATTGTTATCACTGCAAATATTTCTAATTAATTTGCGAGATATTATAATCATTCTAGATATCGTAAATGTTATATCATAAATATATCATACTTTTTGCAGGATTTGGAGTATGGCAGAATGTGCACATTTTCGAGATAGATAACATGGGAAACCTGTCATCCATCGCAAGGATTCGCTTTCATATTCAATCATGGTACGACGAAGTAGAAGATTTCGATTCGGCGGAATTCGGGTGAGCTCATTATATTTTCGCATGGATATCATTTTTTTCTATTAATATATATTTTTTCTTTCTCACTTCTTTTATGAAAATAAACTTGATATAGAAATTTCATTGTGTATTCGTGCATCACGTTCAATTGTAGTGTGTCTTCTTAAATTGAATTTTATTTATATGTATTTTTTTTTTTTTTTGAGTTTTTTCCTTTTTCTTTCTTTGAAATCGGAAGAATTGTTGTAAGTTAAAATTAATTTTTCCAAATACATGACATCTGTATATTTTTAATAGTTATATACACACATATATTTTAAAATATTTAATATTTAAATTTAAATTTTGCCACCATTACTTTCAATCAAGAATTCACTTTTGAAGAATTGTTTAAAAATCTTTTTTCCTTTTTTCGTTTCTTTCGCTCGAGATCGAAGTACCAAAATAGTTCGTTGTCTAGAGTAATTGAAGATTTTATCAGCCGTGGAGGAATAATTGAGTTTGTGAAAACTCCAAGAATACCTGGCATGAAAAATTGATAAACATGTAATAAAAAGATTTTTAATCTTGATTTATGTTATGTTCTATAATTAATATATAGATTGTTCGAATGTCAGAAAACTTTAAATTAAATAATCGTAAATCTGTTTTAAAATATGAGTTAAAATAAAAATTTTATATGGCAAAGTTTGAATTATTCGATGTTTAAATATTAATGTGTATAATTAATTGATGAAATTTGATAATTATATATATATATATATATTAGCAGCAATTTAATATTTGAAAATGAAATAAATATTCAAAATATATCCTTATATAAATATTTTACAATCAATGTAAAATTATTTTGAGAAAGATTTTTGATTTATAAAGTTCTAAATTATATTATTCGTTACATTTTTATCGCAATTTTATTAATTAAATGACTTTAATTTTTATAATTAAATGATTCAATTTTTAATTTATATTATATAAAAATTAAAAAAATTTTTTAAATATTTTAAATAGTTTTAAGTTCTGTTGAATTAATCGAATTATCTTATCTTGAACTACAAAACTTGAAATGTACATAATTAAGAATTTAATTTTGTAACATATCCAAATAGATAAAAAAACCTGAACAATGTTAAAATTTTAAATAGTAATACAAGTACCATTAAGTCTTAAATATATTTTTTTTTTCGATTTTCTGATATTAGTGATTCTTAGCAAACATATTTGTAAAGATTTATTTGCTTACAAACGATTGACATATAAGTACGTATGGCATGTAATTTAACAAGATAAATAGGATTTGATTAAAAAGATTAAAAAAAAAAAAGGAAGTGAGAAATATCGTTGAAAAAGCAAATTAAAAAAAAATGGGTATACATTAATCATATTGGCAGGGTTTTATCGGGACGTAAACTCGCTATTTGCATTAAGGATGATTTGAAATGGAAAAAAAATGAAAAATGTGAAATAAAACGTGACTTTGTGATGTTATAATACAATTTTTATCTCGAAATTTTTTTTACATAATTTATGGTTGAATATAGAAAAATATGATATTCAATACCATCAATTTTTTCTTACAATAAGTATACTAATTAAGTGATTTGAAAAATTAAATTTGATTTGAAAAATTTCCAATAATTTCGTCAAAATTTTATTTTAATAATTACCTATATTACATGAAGCATCATATAATTTGAATTTATATATTAAATTTATATATAATTTATATATTTATAACAATTTTAAATAAAAATTTATTTCAAATAAATTTATTTTTAAATAAAAATAAAAATTCAAAAATTTTCAAAAATTATTCAAGCAAAATGTTATTATAATAACATTCATTTGCATAATAAAACATAACCTAACATTCGTGCAATTTTAATGGAAAACAATCAACGAGTTAACATCATTAAATCATATTCAATGCAATTTGAATGATTTCCATTTTTGATTTCAATTTTTGATCAAAAGTAAAGCCAGAAAAAGTACAAAAGAAATCAAAAGACACAAGTTCTTTTATTGCTTGTCGTGCGATATATTTCTATATGTGCACTTACCTATATGTCGAGTACCGTGTAAATGTGTGCGCAAGTTCGCGAGAAAATCCACACGTATTGTCATTCTGAGCACTGAGGCAATAGCCTAAGTTGAATTGATCGAAACGACTTTTATGTGCCAAGGCTTTCACTTTGTGAATGGTCGATCCAGTATGTGTAGATACTGTTAACTCGCCTTTGAATTTGGCCAAAGGTTTACATTGATTCTTTCTCCACTATCCCCTGGCTCTTTTCTTTATACTTTCTGTCTCTTTCTTTCTATTACTCTCTCCATGTTTCATTTAACTATCTGTGTAGGATAGATGGATTTCAATATAGAGATTTAACTTTGCCTAAGAAAATAGGTAAAAATTGATAATTCTTTTTTTAAATCTAATAAGAATATTGAATCGTGATAATATTGAGAATAATTTGATGATAATAATAATTTTTATTCTACAGAGAGTACAATTATTATTAATGAATAAAAAATTCTTTAATAATTAATTTTGTTTTGAAGATATTATAGAATTATTACAGATAATTAATAGATATTTCTATTCATTTGAAATTCAAAACTAGATATATGTACATCAATACTAATAATTATATTTTGATAGAGTAGTTAATTAATTTTCATTGAATCAAATTAAATGAGAATGGATAAATAGAGCTTTTAAATGATTCAGAGAATGAAAAATAATAACTGATACAAAATAATTTACATATTAAATAAATTAATAATGTAATATTCTAATCTATATACATATATATTACTATCTCTTTTAGGACTAAATTCATTTTTTTTCAATTCTTTTTATTAATTCACATACGTATATATTTGAATTTATATTATGCATTTAAATTCAAACGTATTATTCTTTATTTAAAAATCAGAATTCAAATTGGCCAATATTTTCAGAATTTTATCATTTTCTATTATTATCTAGTAATATTGTTAGATATTCATGAACTAATGGAATTGATATTTAATTAATAATCTTTAATTTCAATTCTATTCCTATTTTCGTTTTAAACAACGTTCATTGTGTATATTATTTGATTTCGATAGAAATAATGAAAAACGAATAAACCTTTATAATAAATGATTTATATTAAGATAGATACTTCAATTTATCCATTTCAGATTGGTGAATTTAGTCGCAAAAAGTAACTTGCCTTACATTCCATTCGCGTTGTCGACAATCAGCCGAATCGGTTGCGGTCGTGCAATTTACACACAGCGATCGAGATTCAAAGTCAAAAACATGGCGACGTCGTCAACCGAACATACAATAGCCATTGCTTACGGGGAAGTTCGCGTTGAGGCTCTCGTGTGCAATTACGGCCCTCTCGATTGGAACACACCAAGAGAACTGTACGAAGACGGTGTACCGGCTGTTTGTCCAGCGGGAACGATGCGAAGCACACAATATCGAGCCCTATGTCGTAAGTGTTTCCTCTTCTATGATTGTTGTCGCCTACTTTCTCTGTCTCACTTATTCCCTTTAGGCCCTTCTTATGTATCGCGCTCATTATGTCTCCTTATGGCGAGTTTCGTGACGACGAAATGATGAGATCGTTTCAGAGAGCGCTCGAATCGCTTGTCTTGCAGGAGACTGGGGCTTTAGACTATTTGATATATTATTTAAAAATTTAATTTTGTTTACATATAATTGTTCTATTATGGAATATTAGATGCTTGTAATTGTGAATTGTAGGATTGAAGACGTTAGAAAAGAATGTTGTTTGCTTAAATGAAAAGTTGATTTCTTTTTTTTTGTAAACTATAGAATATGTGACAGATATAGAAGATAAATTGCAGTAGAACTGTATAATTGAAATGATTGAAGTTAAGGAAATGGAAAATTTGATAAAAAAAGAGGTACATTTATTTTTTTCTAAAAACTAGAAATAAGTATAGAATGTGCAATATATACAATTTACTTCAAATTTGTGCAAAAAACTGCAATTGCAATAATTGAAATTATTGAGGTTAGGAAAAAATATTGTAAAGTGGATATTCTATGAATTAAAATAAAAAAGATATGATGAGAATCTAAAGTCATAAAGTTATTAACTCTCTTTTGATTTCGGATTATTTGAAATTTGAACTATGATTGAAATAAAAAAAGTATTTTCCGTTTTTCCGATAAAATTGTATCAAAATAATGAAATAAAAATCAAATCAACTGTTAAGTAAAAGACTGATTTTCTATGTTCAATCTAGTGGAGAACAGTCACAATAAATATAAATATAAATATTGAAATGTAACTTTGTCAAAGGATGAAATGCATCAGTTTTCATATTATTTGTTTCATTTTTTTATTGTATACAAAATATCGATTTTTCATACATTGAAATATGATGGATAAAAAAAGATTGTACGACTTTGTTGCATTTGTAAAACGATTCTCTGTTTTTATCAAACAATTATTTAGTTTATTCTATTTATTTGCTGTTGATTGAAAATATTTTTTTTATTTTAAGAGAACAACTTTGATAATTAAAGTTTAACTTTGATAAATTATCAATATACTTAAACATATTTCCGACTTTTTTTCGATTTGCGAAGATATTTTTCCTCTTTTTCCCTATTATTTAACAGAAATGTGTTATTCATTCGTAATTTTATAGATAACTGAATGATTTTAAAATTAATCACAGGAATGATTTTAAGATCCTGCCTATTATCTCTGATTGTGAGGTATAGCTATTTAAAGTTGTAGAATATTTCTATAAGTAGATATAGAGAACAGACTGAATATTAAGGGAAATTTCCAGCAATCTTATTCAGCATTCTACAAAGTCACTTCTTCTGACTTCGACATAGTTTCAGGAACATATTTCTCTGAAAATTTTCACTTCTGTTTAAATAAAATCCAACTTAAAACGAATGAAAAGTGATAAAACCGTCTCTATTATTCTTGTCAATCAAAGAAATCTATATTAATATTTTTATCTCTAATTAATATCTATTACTTTCATTATTTTTTTTTTCATCTTTTTTATCTTATATAGAAAGTTACTTCATGCACAATAACCTAACCTATTTTAATATTATATTGCACACAATTGATGAAAAGTTAATATTCAAATAAAAAGAAAAAAACAATATCTGCTAAAATTACATGCATCCAAAACTCTTGCACAAAACCCAATTAAACAGAAAGCATATATGTAGCAGTTCTTCGTCTCCAACCATCGAAAATAATTGCGGATTACGGTTCGTCATTCAGGCAAAATGGTGGAAAAGGCAGTCAAAGTTTAATTAATATCGGGATATATTGATTCATTTACGTGGAAACTTGGATAGATGTTATCAAATTGTCGTTTCCACGGTTAACATAATTCTTTGGCCTGTCATGGGACAACGCGTGCTGTTTGGAAATCGAGGTAAGAAATCGAAATGACGAATGGATTAATTTTGTCTCGCGCGGAAAACTTTACCACCATTTCCTCTTGGCTTGATCTTTACGATTTTCTTCCGTGGAATACGTAATTGGATGGGAACCGACCCATAATTTTCGTAACGATTATGGACCCAGACCACGTGGATCAAGAATACATCATATCACGATCCTTCCATTGAAATGTATTAATTTTTCTCTTCGTTATGTGTATTATTTCATTGGCCGGAATCGTGATGAAAGAATAAAGAAAAGAAAACGAGAGCGAAAAAACATTACTGCACAGAGCCGAGTCACGCAATTTCAAATGTAAAATGGGTAACGAGGATGTTTGTCTTGTTATGATTATTGCTTTTTAAGTGTAATGATACTCCAAGCAAGATGTATTTATGGTTTTTTCGTATTGCGTATAACTTTTTATTGGACATTTCTTTTTTTACGAGAGGAAGATTGAGAATAGAAAATAAAATAATTGATAATAAAAAATCGTTGTGAGAACTTGATAGAATTTTTTTAAAATTGGAAATAATCGTATAAAAGAAATATAATAAAAGTTAAAAAAGGAAAAAATATTATTTTCTATAATATTTTATTGTGGAATAAAATGGGGGGAAAAAAGAATAAGTTAATAAGTAATAAGTTAAGTAGAAAAATAAATATAAAAATAAAAAAAATATTTTGTGCATCCATCGTAAGCATCAAACATCAATCTTCGTAGTAACATTACGTCGTAAGCAAATAAATCTTACACAGCTCGGCTGTTTCCCCACGACTCGACATTTTCCCTCTTCCATACTTTCAAAAAGCAAACAAGAAAACCGATATATCGCGTGACTCGTTCTGTATACCAAAACAACGAGTACCAATCGAAAATTCCTTTCAGAGAATGCACATGTACGACAATATACGATTTTGTTTGCAAAATTTATATGGAATGATGTTATTTTTTTCTATAATTCTATACTAATATTTTAATATATTTAAATTCAATTAATTTTTTCAGGTAAATTCAATTTAAAAAAAAAAAGAAAAATAAATTGGTTGGATATTTCATAATTGAAATTATTTCGAATTTACGATACTCTTATATAGTATAAGATTTTGATTAAAAGAGTTGAGAAAAATAGTAATAAAATTGTTGTTGGAAAAAAAGAATGCTATTTTTCAATGATTTATTATTCATTAATAACACCGGTTAAAAATATGACTGTGTATGAAATTTTATTGCGTCATATTGCAAATTTACATGGTTACTTAAAACATAACCTAAATCTAATTTCTAATCTTAAAAATACGATATATTTTTGTATATGTCTATATAATTGTAAAATTTATTAAATTAAGTTATTATTATAAATTTATAAATAATCAAGTATTGATACATTATTTTCTTTCATATCAGGAATAAATTTACTCGTAAAATATCACGAGGATAATGTGCAGCATATGTTATGTAGTATATAATCGTTGAAGTTTTCTACAAAATATTCTCATTTCAATAGAAAAAAAAAAAAAGAGACAGAGAAAGAGAGAAGTATATAAAAAGAAAAGAATTTAAAAAAAATTAATTGAATGTTTCAGAAAAGTTTCAGGGATGGCATACACAAAAGCAGCGTAAAGTTCATGAGAAGCGAGGTAAAAAGAGCAATGGAACAACAAGCAACAAATTTCTAAAATCTACAGTTTATCTTATTCAACTAGTATTATTATTTCTGATACGCCTATTGACGTGATCGTCCACTTATCATCATTGTCTGATGTGCTATTAATAGATCGTATTCACCAGGTAAATCTTAATTTTCTTAATTGACTCTATTTATATAATACGAGATAAAAATCTTCGAGCACATAGATCTTTTCGTGAAATATAATAATCTAGAAGAGAAAGATATTAAATAGAGAGTCGTACAACAAAAATTAATCTTATTAGAACTAGAT